AATTACTAGTGAGATCTCATTGCCTTGATAAAATTTTCAGTTTCCTTTTTGGGAGTAATGACATAATATTCATGTAGTTTCTCTGTCTCCCTCGCTTTTTTTTTTAGTAGGGTAGATTCCTAACCTGAACAGTTGGTTCCTACTTTTCCAGCATTTTTAAATCATAACAGTGGTGAATGACCAAAGTTATTTTATTATTCTCTAGGGTATATTTGTTCAGCTGGTCCAGGCAAATTCTCCAGCCTCATTGGTTGGTCTGAGATTTGGGGACCAGGTACTCCAGATCAATGGGGAAAACTGTGCAGGCTGGAGCTCTGATAAAGCACACAAGGTGCTCAAACAGGCTTTTGGAGAGAAGATTACTATGACTGTTCGTGACAGGTAAGTTGACTGTCCAGTTCAGATGGAAATTTAAGACTAGTTTTCCATTTTCTTGGGCTTTTAAGAGTCTGTGGATAAAATACTATGTTGCAGAAGATTATCACGTTATTGATCAGCCTTATACTCTGGCAATTTTGTGTGTTGCAGATTCTTCTTAGTTTTCTTTTTAATAGCATTCTGGTTTTGTATGCATCTTATTTCAAAGCTTATGAAATTTATCCTCTAAGATGTTACTTTCCTGTCTCTCTAGATTATAAAAAAATGAATGTTGGAAAAGTAAGCCGTATGGCATCTCTGGCCTCACTTCCCAGTTTGCTGCTTAGACATCCAGCATAGGATGGACACAGTGCCAGGGTCCCTGCAGAACTCCAAGTGGAGCAGGAGTTCTAAAAACCAAATGTGGCCTTTTTGGGTGGTTATGACTCTATAGTTGTCAGGTGGGAAGACAGAATATTTTATTTAGCTGTCAGTTTATAACCTAAACATTTAGGCACATGAAATAAGGGCGTCTATTTTTTCTTGCCCCTTAATAAGTGTTATGGGTGGATGAACCTGTATCACATTGTTACAGTTAGCTTTTGGATTTTTACTCTTCTCATAGTTTTATCTAACCTTGTTTCCAGTTTCTCACACATGGTAGGTATTTTTAGTAAACATTTCATAGATGAACACCAAATTTACTTTATATCTAAGGAAACTTTCAAAGAGTAACTAGGACCAGTAGGAAGAATAAAAAATTTAATCCATTATGTTTACAGGCCCTTTGAACGGACAGTTACCATGCATAAGGATAGTACTGGACATGTTGGCTTTATCTTTAAAAATGGAAAGATAACATCCATAGTGAAAGATAGTTCTGCAGCCAGAAATGGTCTTCTCACAGAACATAACATCTGTGAAGTCAACGGGCAGAATGTCATTGGGCTGAAGGTAAGGAATAGAACTCATGTCTTGTGCTGCAGTTTTATTTTAGCAGATGTCTTTTCCATTTGTCTTGTTTTGGTTGTATTTTCACATTGACCTCCAAAATAAATAGAAACTCAGTGGGGAGATGGGTGATGTGGGATCTGGGCTCTGGCTGTGCTCTCAGGCCAAAGGAATTACTTGGGCTATTTGGAATTAACATTCCTATAGCAAAGGGCTTGAGTCTATGATCTCAGCAGTCCCTTGAACTAGAATTCTGTGGAGACATGGGCATTGAAGATTTTGATGACATTCTGAATGAATGATTGCTCAGCTTTTTCAACTTAGGAATGGTAGGAAATGAGTAGTAGTTTCTCTTAGTACCTTGGTTTTTTCCTCTGCAGATTCCTAAATATGGCTATTTTAAGGTATAAAGGGTTTCATTAAGACCTGTTCATTTCATAAACTTGGTTAAGAATGTACCGTTAACTGAGGGTAGTACTGTATATGAGGAAAATTATTTCATCTTAAATAATGACAGGTTGATTTTTTGGCTAAAATATTTACTCGGCAATTTTGCTTCCATCTATAAAATTGTGATTCTATAGAATTAAACTTGGTAAGAGAAACTGGAAAAAATTACAAATATCAAGGGTCAGATTTTTAGAGGTCTTAGTAAAACGTAAGAGGACATACATATTTACCAAGAATAACATAGTTTCATATTTATGAAATAAAGCCTTAGTATTAATTTTCATTACCTGTTTTCAACAGGATTCTCAAATTGCAGACATACTGTCAACATCTGAGACTGCAGTTACTATTACAATCATGCCTGCTTTTATCTTTGAACATATTATCAAACGGTAAGTAGACAGTACTTCAACTTGAGGCTTACGGCCCTCTGAGTTAAAGTACAGTGCTTATATTAAGTCCCAAATCTTTGGTTCTTTTACCTAAGGATGATGTATTTATCTAGGAATCTGAAGTTACTTATTTAGAGGAATTGGTAGGTAAGGACAATCCCTCACAACTTCCCAAGTACTGAATCAAATTCACCATACACTTCCGAAATGTTGACATTTTCTAGTTGAAAAGAGGTATATGAGCAGAAGTGGGCAGGCTTTCATTTCAGCTTTCAGTAAAATTGACTGCAGTTGCACTCTGCCTACAAGCTCCTCTGCTTCTAAGAAATCTATTCTGATGGTTCATGATGGAGAATTCTTGCCTATGGGATGTTAGGAGTAATGGTTTTTGTTCTAAGAGCATCTGAGGAGGCAGGTAGAGGTGTGTAGGGGTGTGGGGTGTGGTGCTAGGATGGGCCGCAGGAAATGAGGATTGGACAGCTGAGTAGGGGGAGCAAGTGTTTTTACCTTCCCTAGAACTTTTAAAATCCTGGCTTCTATCATAGCTGTTTTTGCCAAGCCAACTTAGATCCTTCTTTCAGAATCTGTCTTGCCTGTGGAAATAAGATTTAAGAGGTTAAAAACATAATACCTTAATAAAATTTTTCAGTTTCTGGGTAGAAAAAAAAGGGAACTGTTACAGTCAAGACTACTTGTTCTCGAGTTCTCGTAAACCGGTGATAGGTTCCCCCTTTCCATTTTCCTCCCAGTTCATAACAGTGTTGCCATTTTCCTTGTTTTTAGTCATCAGCTTTAATATACAAGGACTTAACTTGTATCTCTAGCCAAGGTACAGATGGCATTTCACACTGGGTATATTTGCAAATAACTAGATTCCCGAGACTCCTGAACTCATTAAAAAAAAAAAAAAAAAAAAGACCTTCCCTCTCCCCGCCAGGCCCACTTGATGCTAACAAGTGCTAAGTTTGAATGGGCGTTTTCTTGGATTAGCATAGCCCTTTTTGAAAAAAGAAACCCAAACCGCACTATTTAATAAAGTGACTCTCTTGTAGGATGGCACCAAGCATTATGAAAAGCCTGATGGATCACACCATTCCTGAGGTTTGAAAGTCATGGCACAATGGAAACTTCACCAAACTTCTCCAGTTTACTTCTTGGGCAACTTAACTTTATATTATGCACATGAAGCTTTCTAGGAGCCAGAGAGCATATGCTGCATGAAGACCTTTCTATCTTACATTATGGCTGGGAATCTTACTGTTTTGATTGGATATCTTGTTCACACTTCAAGATCATTGTAGCCTTATCCTGGTTTTACAGATGTGAAACTCTGGAGAGATTTACTGATTTTCATAGGGTAGTTTCTCTACTAGAAACCCGATGCTTTTACAAGCCATTATGATTAGAATGACTGATACAGGCTTAGCTCTGTGTTAGAACCAGTCACCTTTATCTTACATCAAGTACTGCTGTTCATATTACTTTAGTTCTGTGGTATAATTGGGTTTTTAATGTGTTACCATACTACATGTAGAATGACTGCTTTTGATGGTTTGTGTGTGTGTGCGCGTGCGCGCCTATAAAACACGAATCACGTACACTGGTTTCATTCCACGTAAGCATTATACAGTGTATGTAGGTTGCAAGAGATTGTGTTGATCATCGTTTAATTTTAACTGCCTTTACTTAATATGCTTCAACTGTCGCCTTAACTGTTAAGCATCTAGAATAAAAGCCAAAATATAACTATTGCTGCCTTTCTAAAACCCAAAATGCAGTTCTATGTTAAACTGAAATGTACACTGGCCCAGAACAATTTAATGGTACATACTGAACTATAGCATAGCTGCTTAGTTGCATTTGAGATTTTCTAGTCAATTGTGTAATGGAAATTTCTTTCTTCTAAAAGTTACCGGAATTACTTTCTGAGAAATGAATCAGTATATATTAAAGGTAAAAATTCTTATACTAAATAGGATAAACTTTTGACTCCCTTTATTCATTTGTAGATTAAGTGGAATAATACCTAATTTTGTCATTTACATTCTGTAATCTAGCTACTTTGGGATAGTCTTAGGATGTTTCCCAGGTAATTCCATTTCCTGACCCCTCCCTGCAAACAAAATGGCAGTGACACTTTATCCTGATTTTTTTTTCTTTTTGGTTTATGCCTATTCCATCTTAATTAAATATGTATAAATAAAGTGGACTTTTAGTCTGTTGCATCATTTGGAAACTGTCCGTGCCTTTCACCAAACTTGCTCATGACTTAGAGCAGGCAGGTGAAGTTCACACCTTGGGCCTGCGGCAGTTGTCTCCCAGAGGAGTAAGTAAGCGGGCACCCAGAGGCCCTGAGAAAAGCCCTCTGTGCCGAGAGAGTAGGCGTGTCGGGAAGAGTGCTTCCACCTGTGAACCGCAGATGGCCCATCTGCCCTGCACACTTCAGGATGAGCAACAGGAACTCAAACGGAGGCCACGGATGCTCCCTGCAACACCCGAGACCAAGTTGCTTAAAACTGACTTTGAAAACTGTTACCCTGGGTTGTTTTTACCCCATGTCATATAGCCTACAAGATAACCCCCCCGCCCCCGTCTTTAAAAACATTGTCATAATATAAAAGGAAGTCAGTAGTGTGGCTTTACAGCTTACCTTGTTGAAATTTGGAAAAGCAAACCGAACAACGTTTCCCGGTTTTACCTACCTTGTTACCTACATTTGGGTCTAAGGATGGTTCCAAAAATGTAAGAATGAATGAGATTCACATCACTAAGTGTGGTTTTCTAACAGGATCAATAGTTGAAGTTCTTAAAAGGTACTAGTCTTGGTAATCATTTAAATAAAATGAAAACTTTCATTACAGAAAAATATTTTTAATGTAGAAAAGAGCATTTGATAGCTATAATGAAATAAACTGTTCCTATACACAGTAAACTTACTGTTACAAGAATTGCTAATCTTCCCCAGGTTCTTAGAATCTGAGGACAGTAGGTTATACAAAGTAACCACTCCAAGAAAACACATACCCCCAAACCCAATGGGCAGCATTTCTGTAGGTTAGGAAGACAAAATAGAGTGACTCAGAAGTAGTAGAGAATACTGCACGTTTTCTTGGAAAATTCAAAATTGTTCAGTGTTTTCTGAAAGTTTTCCCATCTCAGTTTAGTATCTCTTACCTACTTTGCCACCCGAACCTGCCTTCTGACCATCAGCATACTGGGATGACCATCTGCCTTACAAATGTAATGTTTTTTCCTTAACACTGCCATATCTTTGTATGCCTTAGAGGACGGCAACTAATGGCTTTCAATGAAGTCGCCATGATTTAGGAAGTTTAAAACCACAAATGTCTCGTGGTAAAACTTCTCATTACTATCATTGCACATTCACCAGTTCATTTAAAAGTCTGGTTTAAAAATACACTGAGTTCAATTTAACATTCAAGAGAGGAAAAGGCACTTAATACTGCAATTTCCAGAACATAATTTGTCTGTCTTCCCCTCCCGTGATGATACTGCTACACTGTTCGTTCATCCATATACATGTTACAGCACCTAGGAGAAAGAGACCTGGTGGTTAGGTAGTAAGTTGACCAGGGGGTCCCCCAAAAGGTACTCTCAAGTACCATGTTGTCTTCTCTCATCCTGTAATTGCAGTATAAAGTAAATATTCAACTGCTTAGTACAAGGAACTTGTGAGGAATAAAACCACTTAAATGTAAAGCTAGAATAACGGGATGCAAACAGCTATTCCTACAGCTAGTGGTCAGGACACGGATGAGAGAAGGTAGGGAACTGGTGGAAGTTGGCTAATTCCATTTCTGCTGAAAGGAGTCAAATGTTACTTTAAAGCCAGTAAGTTGAGGATGACCTAAACAGATCACTTTATAATGTTAAGAAATAACCATATAACTGAGCGACAGAGGGAAGGGAATGGAGGGGGCAGTTACTGGTCACAGTGTAAAATAAATAGGTAATTATAACCATAGATACTAGAAGAATTAAAAACCATAAATCTTCCAGATGATCAGGAGGCAACCATGCAAATGTAAGCAAATACAGTGAATGTTCACGAGATACTAAGTGGAAAAAAAAAAAGGGCAGAATAGTTAATATGCCTACAACCTACCCTCCCAATCATAAGAGGGCACACCTCCAGGACACAGACGAAAGAGTCCAGGGAGGAGAACAGCGGGGGTGGGGTGGGGTCAGTGGTGGGAGGATCATTTTCATTGTAATTCATTATTTTTGTGTTGTTTTGGGGTTTCTTTAAAACTATGTGCATGTATTTTTAAAACAATGATTCCAGCTTTCACTATGGTTTTTAATTCTCCACATGAAAGTATTAATGTGCAAACTTCCTTTTTGGAGCCAAATGTCTGTTAACATCAATCTCAGTCCCGAAGGACCCAAGAGATGCAGATCACCTGGCCCACCAAGATGCTGGAGGGGAACATTGACAGTGTGGAGGGAAATGGTGCGTTTTCTGTCTGGGAAGAGTATGTTTCCTGATGGGAAAAGCAGGTTTGAGTTCAGCATTTTAGGAAGAAAGGTGAAGTCAACTGCATTAACTGCTTACCTGTATGGCCCTGTATTCTCTCACTGATTTTTCCTCCGAGCAGGTCCCAAACGAGCAGCTCACCAGACTGACTTCCAGATAAAACAGAATTTCCATCCCAGATAAAGCATCTGCAAGCATGATTTAGAAATAATCATCTGATCAGTCCTCATGAAGGAGGGGCTGTGTTACCCTGGCCAAAGGAAGCCCAAACGACAGGATCCTGAACTTGCTGGTACATGTCTTTCCCTACTAGTAACTCAAAAAATATACCTCTGGGGCTCGTCTGAAGTCATAGAAGAGATGAGCATTCCTGTCTGCACATCTATGACGTTTAGACAGCCATCTTCCCCCGCGCTGAGGACGTGACGACTGTCTGTAACGAGGTGAAACTGCTTCAGAAGTTGGTTGTAGGTTATTCTGACATTTTATCTCTGGCATAACGTTCACTTTCATGCTCCTCGAGCTACTTGTATTGAACCGAGGATTCTCCTCTCCTTGCAATGCTTCTAAGACACTGGGCCAGTGACCCTTTGGTGTGAGTTCATTTGCATCTTACAACTTAATTTCTCTGGTGAGCGGACAAATGAAGAACAGTGTCCACTACAGCTTTTCTGTGGGTGCAAATGGCACGAGGATACCATACTGTGCCATGAGGCAGCCTCAGATACAGGCAACTCTTTTATTGGCAGACTGTTTTCCTTTTTACATTCTCGTTTATTTTAAAGTAATAATTCCGATTCCCCCAGTTATCATCTGTATTAAAAAGGATCACACTACCTGGGCTAAAAGCAGTATCACATACGGTCCCTGAATGGCATGGGATCTGGTGCAATACAGTGGCTGTAGTGAGGTCCCAAATAGTCACTGTGCCTTCTTTGGTGCCTGAAACCAACAGTGTACTTGCAGCATTTAAACTAATTGTATCTACCTAAGGAAGAAAACACAAAGTATTCCACTTAGAATTTCGGTCATTAGCGGTTTCCCTAGGCTGACTCCACTGTCGGGACCGGGACCCGATAAAGGTTAAACTCGGCAGCACGGTGTACTGATGTGGCTAATGCAGATGTGTTTCAACATCGTCTACTGAATTATATAAAAATGAAATTCTTCATACGCTAGTGAATAAAATGAAATACTGGTAGAGTAAATGTAATGCTGGATTTTTTTTTTAAGATTTATTAATGTTTAGAGAGCGTGTGCGAGAGTGAGTGGGGGGAGGGGCAGAGGGAGAGAATTTTCAAGCAGACTCCCCGCTGAGCGTGGAGCTGGGCTTGGGGCTTGATCCCACAACCCATGAGATCACGACCTGAGCCAGGAGGTGGAGGCTTAACTGACTGAGCCACCCAGGTGGCTGAAATTGGCACGATTCCGAATGATGCCTCTATGAGTTCTAAATCGTACCACGGTGCTAAACGGTCTGAAGCACTGCTGAGCCATGATTACTGGAGGGCGCTGGGAAAAGGCGGGGAGCTCTCAAGGTTGTGTCTGCATGCGCCCTGGGAGTTAGCATGTTTTTCTCAACCTCAGCTCGTCTTGTTGACCAGGCGAATCAGGCACCAGCAGGCAGTCCTGTCAGCTCTAGTGGGAGATGTGGCGGGGGACCCAGTGGGGCCGGCACGGGCGAAAACGAGGTGCCGGCTGTGGCTCGGCCCCGCTCGGGTGTGCCTGCGCGGGCCACCCAGACTGTCGGGAGGGTGGCACACTGGACAGACGTTCCCTTCTACTGTCTGTCAGAAAACATGAAAGACAATGCCCCGAACAGTTTGTGTCCAAATATTCAGTGTCATGCTCAGAAACTGGTATTTTGGAAGTCTGATGGATGGTAGGTAATTCTCAGGGAAATGGCAAGTTGGAGGGGAAAAAAACAAGGCAGACTTGGAAACCCCAAGAGTCGAGTCAAAGAAAAGAATGGAGAGCACATGCTCTCCTCCGGTAAGCAAAATAAAATGAAACAAAAAATAACCACACGGTTAAAACCAACCGCTCCCACCCTCCCCTGGACTCAGGCTCAGCTTTGGAGCAGTGCTGTCGCCAGTACTCACACTGACATCGTGTTCCAGCTCAGCGAGCATGTCAAACCGCTGTCTTCTGGTGCATGTCATTTCTGCAGCAACACCGGACCACACCTAAGGTGCAATATATTGCGGAAGGTATTTGCAAACATTTAGAACGAAAGCATTTCTAACACATTCAAGAAAAATGCTCTGGACCAACCACTGCCAGTTAATGTACTTGCCAACAAAAGAAAGCTGTGAATGCTTCTGGCGCCCGTGCTTTTGTTCCCGCCACGGGTGCTCACCGAGTGTCAGGGGCACCTGTGTGTCTGTTTCTATCCTTAGCACTTGCTGTTGCATTCTTTGGTGTTTGTGCGAACTAAGGCAACGTGAGTGCAAAAGTGTAGTGTCTATTAATGTTTTGAGAAGACCTAAAAAGGCAAGTCACCAAAAAAATTACTCAACTTTGGTGTAGGCAAGAAAATTTATAAGAATGGGGGGAAATCCTGAAAAACTCTTGAAGGAATTCTAACAATTTTAGGTTCTTGCTTTCTTTTTACATAAATACAAATTGGAAACTGAGGATGAATACTGGTGTGGTAATTGCAAGACAGTTGTGTAGGGTCCCAAAGAAGACGCCAAGGATGGCCCCACATCAATAGAATGGTGAATGAAAGTGCATTTACATATTCTAACTTGAAACAAAATGCATTCTCTTTTCATGATTCCCCACTTTAACTTGACATTTTCTGCTAGTTCCAACTGTGTGAGATAAAGAGGGGCTGCTACTGTATACAGTTGGCTATTGAACGATGCGGGGGGAGGGGAGGAAGGGCCCCGACCCCCAACTCCATGCAGTTGAAAATCTACGTATAACTTTGACTTCCCCAAAACTTCAGTGCTAATAGCCTACTGTTGACCGGAAGTCTTACAAGTGACATAAACAGCTGACTAATGTATTTTGTGTTGCATGTACTATATACCATAGTCTTAATAAAGTAAGCTAAAGAAAATGTTAAGAAAATCATAAATTTACAGTACTGTATGTATTTATTGACACAACTCCATGTCTAAGTGGACCTGCGCAGTGCAGACCTGTGTTGTTCAAGGGTCACCTGTATTTCTCCGTAACCCTGTCTCATGAATTCTGCATCATTCCAACCCCCAGGTGAGCACACAGTACAAAAACTGGGAAAACTTCCTATTGAGAAGTACGCATGTTGAAAAACCACAGGCGACAGCGCTCAGTATCTTTACAGATCAGCGACACACTTTGTGAAAAAGAGCGAAATGACCGAGCACATTAACAACAGGCGTCGAACGGTTTACAATACTTGCAGTATCCAAACACTTGAGGTTAGAAATTCTCTACCGACCTTCACCGTGGAGTCCCACGATGCGGAATACAGTCGGTTGTCACGCCAACAGATCTTACTGACGGCGTCGTCGTGGCCCATTAACGTGTCCTGGCGCCTTGCAAATGCTATGGAGTAAAAATAGCTAACAGAAAAGAGGATGAGAACTATTAAAAAGCATCCCAGCCTAATTGTGAGACTTAAACACATATTCAAGGAGTATTATGTTGTTTAATTCTGTACTAAGACTCACTAGAATTACAGAGTACTTATTCTCATGTTATTAAACCAAAATACTCAATATCTGAATTTGAAACTAGAAATCTCTAGGTCTGGCTCATTTGTGTTTTCACCCCAGGTTAGAGAGAGAAGAAACAGAGTCTGGTGGGAGAAATTATTAGATTCAAATAATCACAGTCAAAGCCACCAGGACTACCCTTATCTAAGATCCGTTCCTCTCTGAAAACAACGCAGCGTCCCGCCAACAGAAGACCTGTCCTTTCCTGCCTTCTGCCCACAAAGACAGCTATGCCGCATGAGGAATTCCACCAGGAGCACGCTCAGATACATACACATTATTATCCCATGAAGAACTTATGACAGTGGCATCGCCTGGCAAAAGTAAACAAGATGACAAAGCCTGAAATACAAATGGTTTGACATTAATTATTTACAATAATTAGTAAATCCCTCACACGGTAAAACTATCTTGTAAAGCTCCCCCCAAAATTAATGCTCAAATTCCATTTATTTTGGCCTTCCTGGTATTTGGGAAGTTTTTTGTTTTTTTTTTTCAACTGGCTAATTCCAGATGCTTAGTTTCTTCCCATATGTAAGAAAGAAAGTCAAAGCATGTCCAGGGCACATGGATCTAGCCTGAGGGTTTCTGGATGGTCCTCACGACCCTGGGCTGGAGGAACTCCTCACATGGGTAAATCGTGAGGGGAAGCTGGGCTGAGCCTCTCTGGATTACGGGCTTCCACGAGTGGGGAGAACTTCCAAAACCTTTCAGATGGTTTACATGAATAATGTGTTTTTTCGGAAGAATTGGTTTTCTAGTATTCGGGGTCCTGTCCACTCAGAAATGCACACATTATTTAAAAAACACAGACAACGTTTAGTTTGACAGTTCCAGAGAAGGAAAGATTTATTAAGGGGAATTCTACTGGGTGGCACTTCTAGTTTTCTAGGCTCCAAACAAAATCACTGTATTTTGAGAAAGAGGCACCCTGAAAAATTTTTAAACTGAATTTAGAAGTAATGTCACCAAGGCATTCTGTAGACACCTCACAGGAATAAACCCAGTTGCTTGGGAAGAAACGAAATGCCATCGTGTGTGTGTATAAAACAAACTGCTACATGAATTTCCATCATACCACTAGTTTAAAATTAAAATGAACTCACCATATTTGAAAACGATATACTTCTTTGTAGCATTTTGGATTCCTTGGAGAACATCTTCAAGGTGGAATCTGATTTAATGATGAGAAGGCAAAAACATGAGAAAGATTTCCTAGAGAGAGCAGGAAGCTGGAGCGGGCGGTAGGTGGGGGCCAGAGGATCTGGGGCCCCATCTGGTCACCTGTCACCCCACGACAAGGAAACCGACGCGTACCCAGTCCCGGCCCAGCACACTGCTCACATCTCAGCATGACTGAACCCGGCGCAGGCCTAGTCACTGCTCAAAGTTAAAGAGGAGGGGCGCCTGGGGGGCTCAGTTGTTAGGCATCTGCCTTCAGCTCAGGTCATGATCCCAGGGTCCTGGGACTGAGCCCCGCATCAGGCTCCCTGCTCCGCGGGGAGTCTGCTTCTCCCCCTGCCTCTGTCCCCCCGCGCCCCCCTGCTCATGCTCTCTCAAATAAAGAAAATCTTTAAAAAAAAAAGTTAAAGAGGAATAAAATAGCAATTTTAAATAAAAGACAACAAAAATCATGGAAATATATGTTTTTTTTAACAAATAGCCCAATTATGGTGTGATACACCTGTCTTGAATTAGCATTTATGAAGCAACCGCTGACTTCCTAAAGAATAATAAAGTAGGGATTAAAATTTCCTCGCCTAACAGAAGCTTAAAAAAGTGTAGCAAAACAATCTCTTGGGAACCAAGACTTGCAAAAATAACAATGGGCTCCAAACATCCCATATTTGAAACAAATAACAAATTTCCTAATTTGTAAACACACAGCATGATAAAGAAAAGGTCAGAATGAGCTTGAAATAATTTCTTCTGTAGAGTAAGATTTAACATTTCGACCTCATTTTTGCAACACGAACACAGGCAAGTCCTGAGACTTTATCAAGCTGAAACACTCTCCAGCATCAGCTTGGAAACAAAGTCCGAAGAGTAACACAATATGACCAGAACTTTACCCTGTGGGGCATTCTCAACTCTGAGCCTCTTCGCCACCACGCTGCTGACTCCGAAGAAGTCAGCATTTCTGAGTCCGATCAGGCATTTCTGAGTCGTCACCATGAAGTTTACTGCAGCTTATTAATTTGGGGCATCTTACAGAAGGCTGTAAACCAGCCCAGGGTATAAGGATGCTGTTCTCAAAACCGAGGATTCCGTGCCCATGCTAGAGGTGAGCCTGACCAAAGCTCGCCCGAGCCAGGCTCGCAGCTGATGAGCCCCCCACCACGTGCCCACACAGCCCAACAAAGACCGCGGAGGTGAGGAAGGCAGGCCACCCTGGGGTGACGATCAGCACAGGCATAAGTCAGTACTACAAGTTATTGACAGAAAAAAAAAGAAAGAAACCAAAGGCTTTTGCCTTAAAAAAAAAAAAAAAAGGAACCCTCTTTCCTCTTCACTTGGTAAATTTACAAAGAAGGGATGCCATGCTTAATGAGCGTCAGGGGTTTAAAGCCTCGAGGCTCCCCAAACTCATGGTTTACAAGGTCATCCAATTACAAGAGACTGAGGGACTTAAACCCTGGCAGAAAAATCCAGCTAAGAACACAGGCTCTGCTTAACGATAAAGCTTTAGAGATAAACTGCTTTCACGATAAAGCATTCGGTCTGGTGTTACGATGCTGGCACATTCGGCGGGCAGGATCCTGGGAGAACGCAGACTGCTTCCCTCTGTCAGCATCGTCTTGCTGACCCCAACGGGGCCCAGTGTGCGTCCTGCACGTCCACTTCCTTTGGCCTACCGTAGAACCATTATCTATGCTTTGTGGAAAATTCTGCTTTATGCATCCTGAGGTTGTCCTTGAAAGAGCAAGGAAGGACATGCTACAGATAACAAACCACCATCACAGAACCCAAGAGTAGTAACTCTGATTTCTCTGGAAGGGCTTAGTTGGATGGCACCATTTCCAGACTCAATGAAACATGTGATTTCCTATGATGAAGGCTAAAAGACAAGTCCCCTCAAAAACAGCTGGCTACTCACTCTGTCAGAGCCAGTTGTCTTAAAACATAAGCAGGATGACTAAGATACAACCTGATAATGTAGAAGAACGTTAACAATGCATGCATTGGATTTCCAGCGAAATTCAACAACAAACACCCTGGAATATATACCGCATGACACAAATGAAAGACCTAACAGCAAACGTGCACTGGCTCATGCCCCAGCGCACTGTGCCCTGGGGCACCCCGGCTGCACCCCACAGCCGCCGGCACGTTCTGGGTTCGGGCGGACCCGCCAGAGCGTGCGCGCCTCCCGCCAAGCACGGGGCCGGGGAATAAGCTCTTTCTGCCCTGTCCCTGAAGTTTCCGGAAGCCTCATCAGCAACAGAAAGGCATTTTCGTGATTGTTTCTGGCAAACTACAATGCCATCTTCTCTCAAATGCCACAAACTGCTCAAAGTCCACCTTACGTGGAGGCGGCACACTCAAGTGGAATCCTTGACGGAGAGTTAAGAAACGTGGATACTTTGTGGTTTCAGGTAAACCACTGTTCAGGCCGGGAAACATACCTTGTGAGGTTGTAAAGACGGAAGACCCGTTGCAAGAGACGGCTATTCCAGTAACTGCCCTGTTTAAAGACAGAGTTTTATACGTTACCAACAACCATGTGCTGAGACACTTGTCTCTTTCAAGTCCTTGGTTTCATTTTACCAAGTTTCTGTATTTTTTTTTTCGTCACAGCCTGTCTGCTGGATCTGTCCCGCACATATTACACCTGCCACGACCAAATCATTTGGGAGCTTCGAATTTTGTTTTGGTGAGACCTGTGGCCAGAAACCATTCCCACTCTCGTCTTCCCTGGCTGCCATATTCAAAGTCGAACACCTTCCCTGACAACTGGAAATCTGCTTCTCCTTCAGTTTCACCGTCTCTGACTATCACCCAAATTACTGAAACTCTTCTTTACTTCACTTGCTTTGCTGCTGAATCAAATTTACTGAGCATCTGTTCAGTGATGATACCATTGTCTGGTTCTACCATTTCCTTTCACAGGTTCATTCATGTCTACACTGCCCGGGATGATAAGGCCTCTTTCTATGTATCACTTAGAGAAGTTGAGAAAAGAAAAGCCACTGTTATTTTTTTTTTAAGATTTTATTTATTTATTTGAGAGAGAGAGAATGAGAGAGACAGAGCACATGAGACAGAGGAGGGTCGGAGGGAGAAGCCGACTCTCTGCCGAGCAGGGAGCCCGATGTGGGACTCAATCCGGGGACTCCTGGATCATGACCTGAGCCGAAGGCAGTTGCTTAACCAACTGAGCCACCCAGGCGCCCGAAAAGCCACTGTTATAATGAGTAAGGTGAACTATATATTTCTTTGCAGGCGGCTGTGCTCTGATCCGGAGCTATAGATCTGAAGTAGACTGGGACATTCAGACCCACCCGTGACCCATGGTGTCTGTGATATCAACATGTCAGACAGGATGTCTATGGCCATGGAGCAGGCCAACGGGCTCGTCTCTGAGCCTGGGTTTTCCCATCCATAATAGGATGGCTCAGGGGAGGTCAGTGCTTCTCAAGCCTTCCTACCAAAAGGTGTGACCATCCTTAATGGCAGAAGTCTGAACACTCATAACCCCTCTGGGTCTGACAGCAAGCCCTTTTTTTGAAAGTACAGGTATTACTTTTAAAACTCCTGTGAACTTAGCCTTTTGATCTCTCTCTCTCTCTCTACACATATTTGTTATAATTTTTTAAAAGGACACATTTTCCCCTACAATATCTGTGAATCCAACACTTGGGGAAGATACACCATGTTTCTCCCATCAAAGACTCGAGGGGCTGTGTACCCCAGTTGGAGAGGCATAAAACTACCTGCTGGCCGCAGACCCCGTTGTGGGCTCTAGAAAGACCAGGGGTAGAAATGACAGCATGGAAGGCTGACAGAAATCCATTTTGTGCCAAACTTTCCCTTGCCACATTGACCCCACATGGCTCATCACTACAGACATTTTGGGGGGAGAAAAACCAATCAAGACAACATTGAAAGAGAATTTCCACCCCCTTGACTCCACTTAAAACAGTGTGGCTTCACTCCAGGCCAAGACCCCAAGTTTTGCAAGGACGGCACAGAGGTGTTCTTACTCTTTGTGGATTTTATATTGCTCATGTAACTGCAGTTTGGTGATGTTATTCCAAGCCAGGCTTTTGCTTTCTTCAGTCAGGTCTTCAAAAGACTCTTCACCTGGAGAGACTACATTGAATTGTTGCCAAGTGAGTCAACGGAATTATTAACAAGCACCACAGACAACAAGCATCAGGGTCACAATATTTTCTATTAAAATCAAATGACCAAGGAAACAAACTGCCCCACTGAAATATAACTACTCTGAAATGTACTTGGGAGCTCCATGTTCATCAAGGAAAATGATAAAATGTATAATCTAAGTAACATATTGGGAGAAAAATTAAAAAGTATCTTTGAATACTGAAGTCTTTTTATACTCTTATCAGTGTCCCCAAAGTTTTCACTCAGCCCCTGCCTTAGGAGCTTCAGGAAACACAAGACTGAGTAACATTTCCTTGTCAGTAGTGGTTGCAAAAGCCTGACCATTCCCTACACATGCTGAGGTTTCATTTTGGTTTTGAGGGGGAGAAAGCAGACGTGTTCCGAGCTATAAGCACCCTGGCCAGGACGAGGGAAGCTGTCCCTCCCGTCTTCTGAAGGGCTGGGGGGCAAGTGCTCCTTAGTATAATCATAAGACAGTGGTATGAGCCTGGTGACTAAGCGGGGCATGGGTTTAAAGAGACATCACAAGATCATCTTATGGTCTTTATGACTGAACCCCGTGAGGCATTCTCTCTTAGAGAGGAGAACTCCTGGCTAGCCCTGGATCCCGGGCCCCTGAGAGCTATTCCTCCCGGCGTGAGAGAGACTCTGCTCTGGGCACCCACGACGTCCCTGGGTGCCTGGAACAGATAGAAGTAAGGATGATAAGGAATCATGGGACTTTGCTCCCAAAGTTCCACATAGTGTCAGACTCCTCCTGGGAGCCCGAGGGCTTCAGGCTGTCCTATGTGAAATGTGAAACACGGATAACTGGGTGACAGGGAGTATTTTTTCCTCCTTCTCCAACTACTAGGTGTGACAACAGGGTCAAGTTCATTTTAGCACCGAGCACAGGGCCGGGAAACAACAGAGACTCTGTAAATGTTTGTCGAATGACTGACGAAGAGAGTGAATCAAATAAAGAAAACAAAGCACGTTGAATTCAGGATCTGTATGTGGGGAAGGAGGAGAATGAGGGATGGAGGAAGTTGTGTCTGGGAGAGAACAGGGGAGAGTGGGGCCAAGGGTGACCATGGGAGCGGCGCAGCCAGGACGGGCCAATGTGAAGGTGACCGGCTAAGCACCAAACACTGGCTTGGAAAACCAGAGAAAAGGAGAGGCAGAACAACAACAAAATACTGCCAAGTCTCATGTAAAAGGAATAACACGACCGGGAAATAAAAGTAACTTGATTTTCTTTAAAATCAGCAGTTAAAACACAAAGGAAACAACAAAAACAGGCTTGTCGAGTTGTTGTTTTCAGGAGAAGTGCAGTCGGATGCCCAAACACAACCACCTCTAGGCCACATGACAGTTCATGACTCACCTACTCTGCAGAATCCTCAGGAACATCCGAATCGGAAAAGAGAAACGAAGGGTGCTCACATTTACTCTCTTTACAAAAAACTTACCTGGAGAATCTGCCATGGGAGCATTATGACTGCAGGTTTGGGAGAAATTCTTAAACTTTGGGGTGATCCGTCGAGGATGTGGTGTCACAAAGAGCTGTTTTGGCGTCTGGCCAAACTCCAAGATTTGGGTCAGCATGGCTACTTTCTCGTCAGGGTCCTCGATGCTTTAGGACAGAACACAAATAACGCAGTGACCCTCGAGGTTCGAGTTCCCCAAGAGCACAAATGTCAAATAATGCAGCTCAACAGGAGAGAGGTTTGACCCTCAAATAGTAACAGCGACTATGTGCCAGGGCTGTCCGAGCCTCACCACAGATCTTAGAGAATTTTCTGAGGCTCGGTGACTTACCTAATGGGGAAAGCAAGATATAATTCACTGTAAAATTTCCACACCTTCGTATGATCAAAGAGCTGCATTCATCATTTAGACAAAGAGGTATTTCGTAACTCAAGTAGAAGCTCCTTCTAGACGTATAGGTACCTGTTCAAGTCTACGCCTCCTTCATAGGTCAGGGGATGAAATACTGAAAAAAAAAGAGATGAAAAACCCCTTGAAAGAGGTACTGTTTGGTTATGATTGACGCTCTGCACAGAATCTTAAAAACTCAACAACTTTAAACTTCTATTCAAAGAAACTGATGGTCATTTTGCAAAAAAAGACTAATAAAAACCAACGGCAATAAATATCAACCCAAGTTATCTTTCGCCGAGCAGAAATCCAACTGGCAGGTGAGACAGCCTCTTATCTCCAGGTATCTGCCCCCAGGGGAAGCGCCAATCACCCTGCACTGCCATGCGTGAGGTCCAGCCTGACCTGCCAGCTTCTCTTCACCAGCTGACACCACTGGGCAGCCTGGAGGCAGGTAAGAAGGAGCCCGGGGGTTGGGGAGGGGGGGCTGCCACAGTTTTCTTTTTCCTCCATTAATAAGAAGCCCGGGGGCCCTTCAGAGGAACAGGGGGGTGGGGGTGCTCTTCTATCATATTCTGATTGAGTTTTAATTAGTGAGTGGGATAGAGAGTAATGCTAAAATTGGAAGACTTTAGAAAAACACCTCTGGGGATCGGGGTGAAGCTGGGGTTCTTTAGGCCAAAGTCCTTCCTCCTCTGTTACTCCGTATCTGACCCAGGGCCATGGAGCCGGGAGCCACTGTCTGCTGACAGAAGATGCTGCTGCCGAACATGAGCTTGACTGCTCTGGCCGCGTTTTCTCCTCTTCCTTTGTGCTTTTGTTTTCATCAAATGCTATGTGACAATTCTGAGACTCACGTACCGTTATGGGCCCCAACGGCATCACTCCCTTTTTGCTTGTAGCCGAATATTAGATCGATCCACTCATGAAGGTGCTCTGACACATAATTGCTTTCCAATGCGTCTTTGCTCTTCTGGAGAAAGTCCTCGGGACCTATTAGATTAGACTCGATCAAAACATCACTGTCTTCATTTATTCTCTCCCATTTCTTTTGTCTATCCATATGCAGATAAAGCTTCTAGGAGAGGCAAGAGGTACATATTTGTTTGTTTTTTAAAGATTTTATTTATTTGTCAGAGAGAGAGAGAGCGCGCAAGAGCACGCGAGCATAAACGGGGGGGGGGAAGGCAGGGGAAGGGGCAGGCAGAGGGAGGAGCAGGCCCCCCGCTGAGCAGGGGATGCGGGCTCAATCCTAGGACTGCAGGGGTCATGACCTGAGCTGAAAGCAGACCCTTAACCCACTGAGCCACCCAGGGGTCCCGAGGTACATATTTATTAATGAGGTTTTTTTTTGCCCCCATCATATAAAATATCAATTCTGGGGAGGGGGAGGGGAGTGGCGAAGATCACTTTCACAACATTTAGGTCTTTCAAATACGTGTGGCTGTTTTTACATCACAGGCGCACAAGACTAGTTCTGATCTGGAAGAGAACTGAGAGAGCGCCTCATTTACACAGAGAAGTACGCTGGTATTTTTTAAAAAACCCAGGCAACTAAATCACAATACTGAAGTGGCCCCCTGGCTGAAGAACTGCTGAAATTGGGTACTTCCAGGGTGGTACTCACTCCGTGCCCAGGGTGGGAGTTCCACATCATCAACCATCTGTCCACCTTGTCTCTTTCCCAGATCCAACTTCAGACTATTGACTAAAAAGCTGACATCATCACCATAGAATTCTGGAATCAACTGAAATGGGGGGGGGGGTAAGGGGGTGGAAAGAACAGCAACAAACATTTTTTAAAGCCATCAGAAACCACAAGCCCAGTGAATTATTAGCTTTGTTAACTGCTTACCTCTTTAAAATCAGTTGCGCCATCCAAACAGTTTTTCCAAGTTTCTGCGATACTAGACACACACAAAAAAAATAAAAATAAAAAAAAAATCAACTGATCTTAAGTCTTGGGTCTGGAAATAGCAACCACAGGGCTGTCTATGCACCTAGGTGTTGTCCTACACTTCACCTGTATTAATTCATTTCTCCCATTAACTCATAATTCTTGACATGTGTATGAGGATCCCCCTTTGACAGAAGAGACGCCTTCTCTGAGTTCATGCAGGGAGTGACACGGGGTGAAGACACAGACCCAGACAGGGCATCTCCAAGCCCACGCCGTAAGCCTCCAACCACACACTGCCTCATCGAAGGGCCAACACAGGCTGCTGCTTAAACACGGAACACCTAGCATGGCTGTTTTAATAGCTCATTTCAGAAAGGGATTAAACTCGACACAGCTTGGAAAGACTGGAGAGACACAGACCAAAAGATTAACAATGAATGTTATCTCAGCGTGGTGGGAGGCTGGGCGAACTTAGTTTTCTCCATATTTTCTGGCTTTTTTTTTGGCAAGGAAATATTTAAACACTCACAGGAGATTATATTCAAGTCACAGCAGAATTATTTAGAATAAGGAGATGTTGGAAACGGTCTAAATGTCCAACAATAGAGGAATAGTTAAAATACTTAAATTATGGCATACATTAGGATGTGATAAAATAATTTCAAAGTCACTGTTCTGAAGAACATCTGATATAGGGGGAACACTTCAATATTGAATACGACGAGGCTACAAACAGGCAGGACAAAAGCTGTAATTGAAAGATGTTCTTACAGTTACACACACACACACACACACACACACACACACACACAGGACTAGAAAAAGCCTCAAAGGAACAGACAGATGTACCAATCAGCGATTCTTGGCATTTCTTGACATTTGTGTATCCGGTTTTTTGAAGCAAACACATTGTACTTTTACAATTAGAGAGTTTACGAACGGGTAGGTGAAGCATTGGGTCAAACCTGTTGAACATTCTATCTGCGTTATCAAATCTTCCATTCTGCAGACACAGCATGTACTCGGGCGCTAGAGGGGAAATCAGAGTTAAGTGAGGTAACAGAACCCCCAAGAACACACGAGAAACAGCACTGAATAGGGGGCACCGACACGGAATCTTACCGATCCTCACAAGATAAAAGAGCACGTAGCCAGGGGAAGAGTAGTGACTGCCGTACATGAACTTTGGCTCTGGCATTTCCTGGTAGCGGGTCTGCAACAGACGGAGAAAGATCCTGCTAGGCGTCGGCCAGGAAAACAGTGACTGCCCCAAGTAGTCAAACCTCAGATCGTGGCCTGGCTACATGACAGCCCTTAGTTTCTCTCTTAAGTAGGAAAGGGAGAAGAGGAGGGGAAAACAACTGGGAACACACACAGTATTCCCGTGACAAGTATTTAGCTTTTCTTAGCTCAGTGGGAACAATGCTGGGCCGGTCTGAACAGAACGGACGTTACACGGCTCTTGTGCAGTTCACCAGAGAGCGCCTTTGCGCAACTAAATCCGTAAACTTGTGAGGCGGCCTGCCTCCTACTTCCTGAACTGCAGGCAGAAGATGCAAATGGCTGTGGGTGAGCAGCTAAACTCACGGGGGAAGGCAGAGGGCAGAGAGGGAGTAAGAAAAAGTATGATCTAGATCTTCTAGTCACTCGGAATAGGCCTCCCCTAAGTCCTGGAGAAATGAGTTTCCCTTACTATAAAAACAGAGGCCACGGCTCAGGGAGCTGCTTAGAAGCCGGGCATCCCCAGATCCACGTACCAGGAGTCTCTCCAGCCGTTCCTTGTTTAGAGCCCCTACTGGCCTGCTAAGATCCCGGAATATTCCTGGATTTGACAAATCTGTAGATTTAAAAAATGTATTAATTAAAATAAAGCTAGCAAACTTACACTTAATAACCTTACCCCCCGCCATGGATACAGATGCACAGATTTATTTCCACAAATAATTTTTTAAAAAATTGAGGCAAACCCATTAGAATTAGAGTATTTCTGATAGTCACTTACATAACTGTAAAGGTTAGGGCTTGAGTTTTAAGTCAGCAAGTCACTCAAGAGTAGCATCTCTAATTTGAAAATGCCCCAATTATTCATTTGTTTTTAAAGATTTTATTTATTCATTTGAGAGAGACAGACAGAGCACAAGCAGGGGGAGAGGCAGAGGGAGAGGGAGAAGCAGACTCCCTGCTGAGCCAGAAGCCCGATGTGGGGAGATCATGACTTGAGCCGAAGGCAGATGCTTAACCATCTGAGCCACCCAGGTGCCCCGATTTTTTTTTTTTTTAAAGAACTACTGGTTTAAAAAAAATATATTCCAAGGAAAACAACAACAAGAAATAAGCACATTTTAAAAGTCAGCATTCTTCTACCAAGATTTGCTAAAGTTTGAATTACAGTGAATATTATTATTGTGTGATAATAACATAATTTGAGAATTGTGGACTGAATATTATCACAGAAATAAATTCTCATAGCCCCAGAAAGTCTGTTATTTCTTTCAAGTGTGAGGGTTCGATTAGTGAACTGTCTAAAAGGAATTTATTGTTCACAATATATAATTTAGAATATTACAAAATCAAATTATAATATAGTCCCATTCTTGTTGAGAGAAATACACATACCACAGGGTTAAAATGGTTCTCTCTCATTAATGTAATTATTGATGATGGGTTTATTTCCTTTTTTCAATATTTCAGTACTTTCTAAATGTTCTAAAATGAATAATTATGGCTTTTGGCAATCACATTTTTGAGTGTGAATTCTAAAACAAAAGGACAACCTGAGAAACAATTTTTCAAAGTGCAAAACAAGCATTTCAAATGTGGTCATGACATGTAATAATGATATGGCTTAAAAACATACGCATACTTTCTGGGCATGTCTTTCAAGAAGTCTGTGAGTCCTTTCTTTAGGATTAAAAGAATTTAAGCGATAGTGGAGAAAACACACGTAAAGCCCATATAACTTAGAGACCACCGACCCGGTACCTCGGAAGGGAAACTAGCAATCGTTAGTACAGAAATCCAGATGGGTTCGAATCTGCCTACACAGATCACAGTCGGACCTCCGGCTTTCCTCTAAGCCCTCGGCTTTGTGGCATTTACCCAGCATTTACCCAGTTCGGCACTGCAGTAGTCGCCGATGACCCACGGGAACACGGGGTACTGAGAGAGGTCGTTGCAGCTGCGGTCCGCCAGGTTGTTGAGGTGCAGGAGGTACTGGTAGTTGGACAGGTGCCCGCGCTGCCACTGCAGCATGTAGCTCTCCGCTGTGCGCTCCGCCGCATGGTGCTCTGAGGGGGACAGGGCCCACCGGGTCGCCACTGAACTTGGCGAACGCCGGCTAAGTTGTACTGAGCGTGTAAAAACTAGATGGTTGGTGTTTTTTTTTTTTTAATATTTTATTTATTTACTTGACAGAGAGAGAAAGAGAGACAGCGCACATAAACAGGGGGAGGGGCAGAGGCAGAGGGAGAGGGAGAGGGAGAAGCAGGCTTCCGGCTGAGCAGGGAGCCCCACACGGGGCTCGATCCCAGGACCCTGGGATCATGACCCAAGCCGAAGGCAGATGCTTAACCGACTGAGCGGCCCAGGCGCCCCCAAAATTAGATGTTTTAAATGTAGAACCTCTAATGCATTTTTGAAAAATACGTTTTAAGAAAATGAAAAGTAGGCTGTAGTTGGTTTTCACCAAATACCTGTTGCATTAAATATGAACATCTGCAAGGATATTCACCAGGAGGGAATATTATTACATATCTAAAACATATTGTCTATATTAAATATATGATATAAAACAAATATGAAGGTATGGAGCAAATATGGAGGTATTACATGGTAATGCATAATATTTACTATATTATATATGGCCTGCAATATATACAAAGTACTTGAGTTTTAATGCCTTTAAGAAGCCATGACCATTTGTAAAAGCTTATTTCCTCCATTTTTTATGAAATCAAAACAAAAACAATCTGAGTTCTCTTTTAGATCAGGAAGAGGTCTACTACCACAGATTTGCCAATGCCTATGTATTATTGAAGGCATGTGAAGAGCGAGGCAAAGAAAAGAACCCGCTGAAGGAGAAAAAGGTCTCTGGTGGGAAAACATGATTTCTCAAAGGAGAAGAACCAGAAAGTCCCCCCACACCCCCTCAGGAAACATGGAATCACAGAGTATGTGGCACCAAGGAGAACTTTCCTCTTGGAGAGCATAAAGTGACTCAGCTGTTTTAATTCGTTCAGAAAATTCTGCTTTCAACGTTTTGTTGGTTGTACCAAGCAACTTATCTAACTTATCTGTTGATTCAATATTTATCCTTATTTACTTTTACCAAGTTTCTTCTCTAACCAGCTATAAGGAAAGAGCTTAAAAACTCAAAATGCTTATTCTCATTTCCCACACTCACACACCTCAGAGAAAGTCTGACCAACTTGAGGAATAAGATCAGAGGGAATAAGGAAGCTTTAAGGAGACAGGTTTTTAGGTCATGGCAAGAGTTATGACTTGAGATTTTTAGGACTCACCATGAAAGTTGAGTTTTTTGTTGTAATCTTGTTACATAGTTAGAGGAATAAAATGAAAAAAAAATCAGGAGGCAGGAAATAACAGTCAACTTGTACCAGAGCTATACTTACGCATTAAATTAAATGTAACAGCTTAATGTGAGAAGAAAAATATTTGAACTCTAAGCCTACTATAAAATAAAATATATTCCTTATTGCAAATAAATTATTCTTCTGAGGGAAAATTCCATTTCTAAGGGAGTAAGACTAGCAAACAAAGTTAAGATGGCAGTAATAAAATCCCAACATCTATTTTTGAAAATCAACCCGTTCTAGTCATCTAACAACTCTGTGCACAAGAATAATTCAAGCATACAATTTCATATGTTTATGCCTAAAAAGAAAAATCAGGTGTTCTTTCTATTAAAGGTGGGAAACTTCACATTTTTATGGAAGACTGAGGAATTATTAATTAAAAGCAAATCAAGTCCCATGGTACGATACGGAGTACAGAAGGCTCATGTGTTCCTTTTGTGTCGTTTTCCAGCTTTGTGATTAAGACCATAGTTAACGATTACAAACACATGACTGGACAGCTCACTGCTTCAAATTAAAAAACCAAGTCCTGGTTTCTGAAAACGAATATAGACAAGACTGAAGAGAAAAATAATTAGGTGGATTCTTTATAATCCATTCAACTTGGGGGTTGTTAAAATGTAAAAAACATTTAAATATACTGATCAAGAGTTTTTCAAACACACAATTGGAGTGAACTATTGCCCAATTTCATTTATATGAAATTATGATTTAGTTTGTAGAATGCCATTCTGCCAACCCTAGTTCCTGATGAGAAGGAATAAGGAGACCCAGAGAGGTGATTCTAGATATAGCATTTCTCTTCTCCTATTTCCTAACCCAGGTACTTAGGAGTTGAACCACCCTCACGTGAATAGATACAATGAAGGGTGAGCACCATACCTAGATATGTGGCAATATAAAAATAGAGGTCATCTCTATCTTGAGGTTCATAGAACTTTAGGTAGATGTCAGAACAGAGGTCGTCTTCTGTGCAAAACACTTCCAAGCCCTATAAATTCAGAAAGAAAACGGTAAAATAAATAGCACTGTTTACCTTGCCATCTCAAAACAAGCCACGTAAGTACAAAAGCTTTTCAGATAAAGATCTGTATTTTTTATCTGCAGATATTATCTATTTACATTCTCCACATATAGATTTGATTCAGCGATGCACATATATGCGTGTGTTTGTATGAATATGTGCATGGTATGTGTATGCGTGCATGCACACAGTTCATCCAAAAGAAAGACCTGGAGACAACGTGCTTACAATACGACATACTTGCACTTTTCAGACATGCCATGATTGTTTACAAGTCAATAAACCATTGGCTAAACTGAAGATCTGACAATCATCCACCGAGAAGTGACATTCCGCAGGAACTCACCAAAGGCATGAGGCCGTGCCTCCTTTTGTAAATGCGGCGGACATCTTGGAGTGTTATCTGGACCACAGGTTTCTTTAAAAGTAGAAAGACAATCTCAAACATCAACGTTCGGACACAATTAGAAGCTGCCCTTTGGTATCAGAAAGGTGAAAAAGTGGCCAAATCTTGACTTCCTGACGTGTTACATGTGAACCATCAGAAAGGCAGCTCTTAGAACAAGGCATTTCTGGTTTTACGTCCTGGTCTGCCCTTTTCCACTAACTTTATGACCTTGGACGAGTCTCCCTACCCTCGCTCAGGACCCCCAAAATGATAAGGCACTGATCTATCCTTCAGGGTCCTGCAAGGTTGCTGAGTGATAAGGGATATTAAAGTGCTGGCACAGATAACCTCTCAGGAATTTTGCTATCTTTTTAGAGATCAATGGTTTTCTTGGAACTGACACAGTACATCTTCTTTTAGAATGTATCTAAAATTCTATCTCTGTAAAAACTACATTGTATTAAGGCTCATGAACAACTACAGTATTAAGCAGGGCCTCTAAATTTTTCTTTCTTTATGAGGAGGAAAATTTTCTTGCTTCTCAAGAGGCTTAAAACACTAGTAAGAGGAGAATGAGGTTAGAAAAGCCACTGAGTTTGGCTAAATGGTGACACATCCACCTTTCCCCAAGTGAGAGGGAGGAAAAGCCCACATGTGGAACTGGGGAAGCTTCCTCAAGACTGGTCAAGGATCATAGCCCAGAGATTTGGGAGGGAATACATGCTCACACTATGGATCCTGAAGCTCTAGCACATACTCAGATATAATCCCAAAAGTTTTTGACTCAAGTCATAGTAATAGGAGCGGTCAAGCCAACTATTAACACCAGCAGAGCATGCCCTTCAGCGATGTGCAGCGTCTGTGGGAGGGCTTGGCGAGGGTGCCCCGCCACCTGGTGGACAGACCTGTCATAGCACCATTTCTCGCACAAAAGCATTAGACGTTTTAGTGACCGAATGACTGACCCACCAGCCTGGAGAATTTCCAGGACGTAGCCTCCTATGACAGAAAACACGTTCTTCAAGCTGCCCTGCCAAAGGGTCCAACGCACTATCAGAGTGTATTAGCATTTCTGTTCTTCTAATGAACCACTCCAAAAAGAGTTCACATCTAGATAAAGCGACATATTTTTACAAATTTTAGTGTGGAAATCCAAGTTTATCTTTACTATAAAGTCACTGAGAAAGAGAAGACTGTTTCCACCATCATGGTAGAAGCACCACAGCTGTTCGATGACAGAATCTCCACCGGCCCCTCTGTGCTGGCTGGCAGGGGACCGCGCCACACTGCTTGTGATAGACTCAGATCTACTGATTCTGCTCCTCATTAAAAAACAAGTAATACCCACATATATGGGCACATAAGCAGATATACAGAAAATACCCATTTCTCTTTAGTATATTTCATTGGTCTCTTCCAGAAGTGCTTCCAAGGAGAAAGGTATAAACCTCTAACAACCCTTTACTAAAATTGGAGGTGGGGGGAGGCAGGGTTTCTTGTCACAGCGAGGGCAAGGGACCCCAGAATTACTGAAAAGAGATCGGAAGAGCTCGAATCTGGATGAGCGGGCATCAAGATGACATAGGGAGGCCTGCTGAACACACAGCTGCTGGAGGGGAAGGGGGCGGAATTTCGATCCTCGCCAAACTATGACAACACCGGAACTGTGAGGTCAAGTTCCCGGGAAAGATGAATATTCCAGTGCTAAAGCAGCTCCCCATCTGACCCTATGTCTCTGCTTACCGGGTACCCATTGAGAGGCTGAAAATACAGGTTTGTGTCGGTGATGCACACGTGTCCAGGATTCGTCACCAGCGGAGTCACCATTTCTGCTTTGCATTCCATGTGCAGCTTTTCAGAAACACTCTGGAATCTGACAATACAGTTTTCAGCAGAAGTAAGAAAAATCACAAATCAATCTACTAAGTTTAACTTTCTCAAAGGGAGCTACAGTGTGACTATGTATGACATCTGTCTAAACACTACACTTAATACAAGAAAAATGGTACTATAAAAATTGGTGGTTTAAATAAAACTGACATTCTTTAAAAAAAACAAAACAAAAAACTTGACATTCTTTCAGATGGTCTAGTGAGAACCCGAACAACAACAACAGATGAGCTTATCACAGAAGAGAAGACAAATAAGTAATAGCAAAGAACCCTTTATAGCTGAACTGTTTTTCCTCCCAAAATAAACTGGCCTTGAAAATATTCCTATATTAACATATTTTTCTATTGTTGTGTCTCTAAGACCTATTTTTAGAGTCACAGGTGCCATTTACTTCACACAGCACTTTATAAGGCCATGAATCCATAGTTAGAATTACTTAAACGTCAGTTCCAAGGTAAGTTCTTTGTGGCTGTAGTAAAACCAGTCAAATGTGATTTTTCCACTACCCCTCCTAAATTATTTAACTAGTCGAAAAAGTCCATTTTCTTTGTGCTTTACTAATGAGTAAAAAAAAAAAAATTAGAGGGGAAACAACCAGGTCATCAACAGCTGAAGGCAATTCCTTAGTGACATAACTGGGTTAGAAATAAATCTCCCCATTGTTATAAGTAACAATGGGACGAAAGCCCACGGGACAGACTTCTACTTCCGTAAGAAGTGAAGGGGACCTCGGAGCTGTCACCCTAACCACACACACCGGCCAGAAGAGCTACACAAGCCTTTTTATAAAGCAGTCAGGAAGCTTAAGATGCAAAGAAACCTGAGTGAAGAGAGCAACGGCTGGGTGGCCTTGGGTGATGACAGATAGAAGGGGAAGGGCTGCGGGATGGAGAGAGGTCTAGAAAGAAGCCAAAAGCAGAGTCGGGACTGAAGAGCAGAGGCGCCAACATGCTGCCACTGGGTGGGGAGCAGGGGGAAATCTCCCAGCGTTCAGAAGGCTGGTGGCTCGGCCGAAAGGTGCGAAGATATCTCCACGGTCCTTCAGGCGCTCAGGTCCCGAGCCCCACTGGAAGAAAGTCTCGATTGCTCCCCAAAAAGAATCGTAGGCAGCAGAGATGGGGAACGTAGCTATGCCTGCCACGAAGCCTTCACCCTGATCAGTCATGGATCGCGCTGTCAGAGCCCCCGGGGGACAAGAAGGGGGACACAGAAGGGGTGGGCGCACGACCACTTCTGGAGGTAAACGGCATTTAGTTGGGTCTCTACGTCCAGATTAGAGAAATGAAGAGTTACTTAAGCAAGCTGAACAACAGACTAGACACAGCAGAGAAGTCCAGTCAGGCTAAGAAAGGAGGGTCAGAAAAACAAAGGACAAATGGAATGCTAACAAACACTAAGACGTGGGTTTAAAATCAACTACATCAATAATTACCTATGTCATTTAGGTCCACCTGGTTGAGGGTTGTTCAGATCGTCTATACTTTGTTGATGTTTTGTCAATTTTGTTCTATCAATTACTAAGAGAAGGGTGTTGAAATTGCCAGTAATTGTGGAATTATTCCTCCCATTTCTGTCAAATTCATGCCTTGTGTATTGTGAAGCTAATATTGTTAGGTTCATATACATTTAGATGTGTATTACACATCAACACACAACAGATGTGCTGAACCCTTCATCATTATGAAGGATCCCTCCTTATCCATTTGTCTTGAAGTCTGCTTTGTCTTCTTTTAATCTGGTCATACCAGGATTTTCATGTGGTATGACTGCATGGTATATCTTTTTCTATCCCTCTATTTTTAACCTGTGTCCTCATTCTGTTTCTGAAAACACACACACTTTATATAGTTGAGTCTTGCTTTTTATACAGTCTGACAACCTCTACTTTTTAATGGGGATGTTTAATTCATTCATTCAGTTTTTTAGAGTGAGAGCAAGCACAGCGGCGGGGGGGAGGCGGGGAGGACAGAGAGAGAGAGGGAGAGAGAGAATCTCAAGCAGACTCCACGCTCAGTGCAGAGCCCAATGTGGGACTCGATCTCACAACCCTGAGATCATGACCTGAGCTGAAACCAGGAGTCGGATGCTTAACCAGTTGAGTCCCCCAGCTGCCCCTAATTCATTTATGATAAAAAGAATACATCATGATCAAGCGGGATTTATCCCATGAAGAAGGCTGGCTTGACACTGAAAAAAATCAATGTAACTCACAACATTAACAGAATAAAGTAGAAAAAAAGTGATCATTTCAGTAAGTGCAGAAAAAAATATTTAACAAAACTCTAAACCTATTATTGAAAATACTCTTGGCAAACCAGGAATAAAAGGGAGCTTCTTCATTCTGATAAAGGGCATCCATGAAAAGCCTACAGCTAGCCTCATTCTTTAGTTGTAAAACAAACCCTTTTCCCGTAAGATCAAGAACAGGGCAAGGATGTGCTCCCACCGCATCTATTAATTAAACAGTACAATGAGGCAAGACACGTAAATAAAAGCCACAAGGATTCCTGTGAAACGGTCCTTATTCATAGACTAAACAATTATATATAGAGAAGACTCTATGCAATCTATAAAAAACCCATTAGGACTAATGAGTAAATCTGGAAATGTCACAGAATACAAGGTGAATGAAAAAAAAAACCCACTGTATTTCTATATACCAGTAACAAATAACTGGAAAAATCAAATTTAAATAGCATCACAAAAATCCTCAACCTAGGAATTCTTCCAACCACATATGACCACATTGACAGACTGAACATATGAAACAGTGGGGGGAAAAAGCGGGTGAGGCGTGAAAGACCTCTGTGGGTTATCTTTATTATCTTTACACCTTTTCTTTAGATCTAACATTAGCCTCACATAAAGTACTTTAAAGGGTATGTTTTGGGGTGCAAAAGGGGGAAACTTGAAGATGAAACTATAAATTACATGGAGTTAGAGAATCATCGGTACTTGAGTATTGTAATAGTATGGAGGAGGGCCAGAGAATACCCTTTGAAGAGACACGTGTTGAAGTAATTATGGGTGAAGTGTCATGACATCTTATAATGTAATTTCAAGTGATTCTGAAAAAGGCATGTATTTTATACACAATATATATACAGGCATGTGCACATTACCTATACGTATATACACACATAACATATATACCTGCACACACACGCACTCATGAAGCATGCGCGAACTAAAGCAAATCTGACAAAATGTTAACAAACTAACCCCGGTGACCTGTAGAGTATCTGTGTTCATTATGTTACTCTTTCAACTTGTGAGGATTTGAAATTTTCAGAATGAACAGTAGAGAAAAATAAATATAGTTACCCTTCATTTCTTCAATAAGAAAGTATTTCCTCATAACCATGATGAAAGCTTATTTTGGCAAAAGTTTACTTTTTTCTTTGAGAGGAAGTATATAACACTGGAGTATCTTATTTTATTCTGCAAAAGTTTCTTCCCCAAATTCTTCAGCCTAATGTTTTAGAGACTGGATTAAATTAAAACTTCCAGAGTGAGCCATTTTTTAAATTAATGTCACATTGAAGCCCAGGATTGAAAAAAATCACTACTCAGAAGAATTAAGCATTCTAAGTAGGTCAAAAGAAGCTAATTCCTCTTATTCCTTTCCCTTCCTAAAATGGAAGCTATTCTTCCCCCAGCAATCCACTTACCTATAATATATCCTGCAAGTATTAAAATAGAAGGAAATTAATGCTATGTAGGTAAAACAGAAAAAGAAGCAAACAAATATAAACACAGAAACATTATTGGCCAGATGACTTCACTGGCAAGTTCTTCAACACTTTAACGTTGTAGTGTGAGGGTCACAAATCTCACAAATATAGCAATAGAACAGAATATTAAAAACTATTCTCATTTATAAACATAAGCATCTAGCAAAAGCCTAACACATCATAATCCATAAATGAATTTATTCAACCAGTACATTCTCTGTTGTCCTAAGCTGTAGTGATCCACAGATTTAGCAGAACTCTAAAATAAGAATCTAAAATAAAAATACTTAGTGAAGATGGCCTGCAATAATTTATACATAAGATTTTGTACACATTAAAGAGTTTACATATAAAGTTAACAGAGCTAATCGCAAAGTTTAGCAGGGTTGCTGAAAACAAAATGAATACACAAAAATCCACTGCACTCTATATATCAACAATAAATGGAAAATGAGTTTTTTAGGACACTATTTACAACACCATCAAAAATATGACGTACTTGGAATAAATCTAGCACAAGAGAGGAACGACCTTTATGGAAAAAACCATAAGGAAGACATTAAAGAAGGCTAAATAAATGAGTGATTCAATGCAAGCACAATCAAAATCTCAGGGAGCTTTCTTTTATGGAACTTGACAAGCTGTTTCTAAATTTATATGGAAGTGCAGCATAAGGCCAAGAACAGTGAAGACATAAATTAAAAAGGAAAACAAGGTGTGAGGCCCTGAACCTGCAGATGCCAGGAGTTATTGTAAAGCTACGTGACCGATACAGCGGTATTGCAGATGAGACGCAAATCTACTTAGTATGAGGCAAGAAATAAATGAGAGCAGGTTCATATAAAAGCATAATTATTTGCAGGAAATATCTTCATACTTAGAAAAGCCAAGAAAATCAATGAAAAAAAAACACTGGACCAGTAGGAATGCAGTCTCCTGGTCCCTGCAGGCCTCTTTAGTAAGATACTGATCACAGCCTGAAGGGTCAGGAAGGACTTTCCAGAACAACCAACATCTAAGCTGAAATCAGATGAGTAAGTAAGAGTCAGCCAGGTGCAAAAGAGGAAGGAGGCCGAGCACTCTAAGCACAGGCAATACGTCCAAAGGCTCAGAGGGAAGAGAGTGTGGGGAAGGCTCGGGATCTGCATAAAGGCAAAGAGCCAGCACACAGAATTCGAGACAAGCCACCAGCGACCAGAGTAGTGCGCAAGGGCTAGATCAGAAGCCGTGGAAGGTTGAGACTTCACCCTGAGGGCAATGGGAAATCTTGAAGAGTTTTAAACAGACAAGTGACATAATTAAGTTCTTTAGAAAAACCACATTTTCAAAGTACACTCGGGACAGTAGGGGAGCCAGGACAGGAGAAGGGCGGACTGGGGGCCGGTGGACAAGCTAACAGCCATTAGAGTGTCCTAAGTGAGGGTGACGGTGGCCTGAGCTCAGCAACAACAATGGGAAAAGATGGTGACAGATTAGAAAGATCTTAGGGAGCATCCGTCAACGGGCCTGGCTGTCTGACCAAAGTCAGGATGGAGAAGCCGAGGCCAGGGCCATTCCCGACCAAGCGCAGGTCTGGGGGCCGCAGATGGTAACAGGGGCAGTTTGGGACAAGCTGAAGGAGGCATACAGGTTGAAGACGTGCACTCCTTTTAGAATCAGGGAATGAGGGGCGCCTGGCAGGCTGAGGTGGTTAAGCATCCAACTCTTGATTTTGGCTCAGGTCGTGATCTCGAGGTCCTGATCGGGCTCCACGATCAGCAGGGAGTCTACTTAAGATTCTCTCTGCCCCTCCCCCTACTCACACGCACACAAACGCTCACTCTCTCTCGCAAATAAATTAAAAAAAAAAAAAAGAAAGAATCAGGGAATGAAATCATTAACTTACCTGTTTTTGTCAAATGACGTCCTAGCCAAACGTGACTGCAAAATAGCTGTTATCTATGAAAAAAGAACCATTTAAAAATAAGTATGAGTAAAATCTCAATATAATTTAATTCATAATAAAGACAATTTACTGTAGAAATTCTTACCATAGCAGTTTGGTCCCCTAGTTTGTCAAGGCGGGACGCTCTGTGAAGCTACAATATTACAAATATACAGGATTTTATTTTTTTTCTCTAAAACAATATGAAGGTATTTCCTTAAAAGCAATGAAAAACAGCAATCATTCTGTCGCTTAGTAATGGTTAAAATCACTTCTGATATATCTAGGACTTCTTTCTAATATACAGTTTTCAAATTCAACATATTCAAGTAAATCTGCTTTATATTTATAAAAGAAACTGTGGTTTTACTGAGATGTATGAATATGATTTTTTTTTTTAAGTTTCTGCCTAAGTTTGCTTTGAATTCTCTGCCTGGTGAATGCCCAAGTGAGGCGCTGGCTTACCTGAAGCAAGGTCTCCACAACATCTTCCACTTTCCCTGAAACATCCAATTCAAAGACATACTCCATTTTGCCCTAACAAAAAAGGGAAACAAATCAAATCAAAGGAAGAGAAGAAGCATGTCAAACCATATTCCTTTAAGAACATCTGCAACCCCCCTGCTGATGTTTCTTTTCCTTCATGTTGGCACGTATCACTACGAACTTCCCCCTTAGTACTGCTTTAGCTGCATCCTGTAAATTTAGGCATGTTCTGGTTCTGATTTTGTCTCAAGATATTTTTTAACTTCCGTTTTTACTTCTTCTTTGACCCACCGGTGGTTCATGAGTGTTGTTCAACTTCCACATACTTGTGAATGTTCCTTCTGCTATGTATTTCTAGTTTTATTCCATGGTGGGCAGAAGGGGTACTCGATAGGATTTCAATCTTGAATTTATTTTGATTCGTTTTGTGACCTAACATGTGATGCATGCTAGAGAACGTTCCGTGTGCATTAAAGAAGAATGTGAATTCTGCTGCTGTTGGGTAGAGTGTTCCCTATGTGTCCCTTAGGTCCATCTGGTCTACAGTGTTGCTCAGATCTGCTGTTTCCTAAATGACCTTCTGTCTGGATGTTCTACCCATTACTGAAAGCAGGGCGCTGAGGTCTCCTATTATTATTGGGCTGCTGTCAATTTCTCCCTTCAGTTCTGTCAATGTCTGCTTTAAATACTTAGGTGCTTGGAGAATGAGGGACGAGATATTGTGAAGATTAATGTGATGTGTCACATGCTCTCTTCTTCTCTGAGTCCGCTGGGCTGCACTGTCCTCTGTGTGCTGGACCACAGGTCCCTTGAAGCAGCAGTCTGATGTCCAGGTCCTCCTTGTTTTCAGCGGCCCCAGGCATCTAGGGCATATGCCATGTCCTGTCACGGCTCCAAGACAGGCAAGACAGAAGCCAGTCCCTCAGGCAGCCACCCCAACAGTCAGAAACCTGGACACATGGTCCAGTCTTGTCTTTCCCTCCCCAGGAGGAGTTGGGAGCTGAGAGATCCCTCCCATCACATGGTATTGGGTCCGGGGAGGGCCTACATTGAAAGGATGTTACAAACATCCCCATCAGCCTCAGTGAGGCTGATTTCATGCTAACCTGGGGTGAAGGGCCTCTTAATTGGTTTCCAGGTTTGTCACAAAAGGCATCGGTCCGTGTATTGTTGATTGAATCAGGTCGCCATGAGAGGAACAAGGACTTCCTATTCTGTCATCTCTCATGGTCACCATCAGTATCACTATGCCCCTCTTAAATCTGGAAATCCTCAGGTGTTCTAATTTGCACTGGAACAAAAGAGCTTTTCTTTGCTTCAGACAACCTCCCTCATCTCCCTTTACATAACTTTTCAAAGGGCCCAGAACTGCTTTGCACTTCAAGTGGGTATGAGGAGAGCCTTAGGAGGGAGAGCCCCCCAGGCGGTGGTTCTCAGCTTGGCGAGGGGGGGGGGCGGATATATCCTACCACCCCCATGAGGCTTTGGTCAATGTATGGAGTTACTACCCAACAGCAGGGGTGACAGTGTAGTAGGTGTGCTTAGTTTAGCCTGGGAGCGGGCTGCAGTGCAAGGGATGCCCCACACAATTAAGAACTATCCTTCCCTAAATGCCAGCAACCCCATCTGAGAGTAATTAAATCTCGTATTTACAGTTTCTGACTTAACTGGCACATGCACGTGTTTCTTATGCATAAAGCCCCAGGGCCACGGCGTGTGGTCCATGAGTCCCACAAGTGCTGGCTGAGAAACTGCAGAGACAGAGACTCACCCTGCGGGGCTGTCTGCTCAGAGAGGGTGGCTTTTCCTCATTCACAGAGGTGGCCCTATACAGAACACTAGCCTGATGTAGGTCCTATAAAGACTCTCTTTTGGTAAAAGCTATCCCTTTACTATATATTAAGCTGTAGCAAAAGAATTAAATAAAGCACAGAATGGCTAAATGTAAAATCTTCGCTTACTTGACAAGTCCTGGAAAACCAGACATTGTATTCAAGCCTACTCATAGTTTCTCCCAATTAAGAAAATTTATAAATTACGACTGAGCTCCCAAATAAGAGTATTTTATAACCTATCAATAATCTCAAGCATTTAAAAAAATACATTCTCAGTAATATCCAGCAAATAACCTTATAAATGATACATATTCTGATTTCAGTTTCTAATCTAGTAATTTAAGCTTTTTTCCTCCCGTTAGACACATTTAAGTCAAAAAGTTAGTTGAAATCTCTTGGACTAAAGTCTGTGGCTCCCTTGGGTAATTTTGTTATAACTGCTGGTAACAAGCTTTTAAATACTCATTATTATTATTATATTAGATTAAAGATGTTAATAAAGTCACAAAATCTTATTGCTTAAAATCACTATAACAAATTGCTCAGAATAAATGAAAAGCTTTACGTACCCTTTCAATTTTATATGGGGCAACAATGTTGTGTTCTTTAATGAAATATACCTGAGAAAGACAAATCAATACTTGTAAAATAACTAAAAATTTTCAGAGTAATGAGTTACCACAAATTAGGATATTATGAATTGAATTTAAATCATTGTTACATAATATCAATTTCCGAAAGCATTTGCATTAATCTTAGTATGGCTTTAACGTTCTGATGTTGGAATAATAAATATGAAATTAAAAAGAGATTCATCAAGGCAACAAGGTAGCAACCATTACTGGATAAATAAAATATTTAAGATGTTTGTGAATGTCCGTACTTGTACCAAGTAACCAAGTAGACAGGTGAAGGAAGCTAATCGAAGTACCAATTTTCTACGAAATGGGTAAAACAGAGTCACTGTGGTATGAGATACATTTCTTAACATAAAGAAATTTCTCTTCTCTAGAGGTGATCTGGGCACACGGTGTTTGATACTACACTGTATGCCAGTAACCATGTCCAACAAGCAACATCACCCCCAGAGCCGTCAACACGGAGCCTGTACCCTGAGCCCTGCCTTCCCTCCTGTTTTGGTGAAGGGTGTGCCTGGGCCCCTCAAAACCACTCACTCGACGAGGCCACAGAATGTAGACCTCCCTCCACCTGTCAGCTGTTCAAAATGTTTGCTTCTGTGGTAGTACGCTCGCTGCACTCTCTCCCATTAGAAACAAACCATAGATAAAAACCCTCCCTTGTCTTATATCCTCCTTTTGCCATTTCCATTCCTTTTTGTGGCAAAACTCTTTGCAAGAGCTGACTGTACTTTCTCTTGGGCTCAGGACAGGTTTTCAGCCGCACCACGTTACGGAATCCAGTCCTGAGAAGGTCCTAAAAGGTGAAGAGGAATTCCATGTCACCAAACCCAAGAGTCTGTTCTAAGGACTTCCTCGAGTCTGTCTCTCAGAGCACACGACAGAGCTGATGGCTCTTCCTGAAGCAGTTCAGGGAGCCCCCGCTCCTGGCCCTCCCCGACCTCATCTGCTGCTCCTTCTGTCTTCCTTCAGACCCGCTGTCTTCCCAACCTCCCCCTGGCGGAGCTGCTGAGCCGTCGTCCTCAGACCGGACTGCTCTGTGCACACTCAGCCCCTGGGAAGCCTCATCCAGCCCCAGGGCGTTACCCAGGTTCTCCTTCTCATCTCCGCCTCCTCCCTGAGACCCACACCACTGCCAAACGCCCACCAGCCTGTTCCTCTCAGAGGCCACGTTCTAAACAAAGCCTGCTCTTCAGGCTTCTTTACAGCAGTAAAGGGCACGGCTATCCACCCTGCTAGAGTCATTCCTGACTGTTCTCCTTTGTACCTTGCAACTAACCCATCAGCACAACTGTGGGATTTTCCTTCAGAATATATCCAGGCACTGACCATCTCCCACCCTGCCGTTGCTACCATTCTGGTCCAAAACCTCTGGGTTCTCAGCACCCCTAAAGGCATGTGTCCCCCACAGCATATTCTCTACCGGGGCTCCAAGACATGTACAAATACATACAGAGCAGACGGCGCCCCTCTTCTCAGCTCTCCGTGACAAGAGGATTTTCGCTTTTGTGCTTTATTCGGACTCCTTACTGTGGCCCGTAGGCTCTCCATGACATAGCCCCTGCCACTGCTCCAACCCTTCTCCCCAGCTGCCCTCTGAGCCTTGCCCCACCAGGCACACTCCTCCTCACTGCACCTGCCACCCGCCAGGACATTCGCCTCCCAGGGCGTCCACCGCCCCAGACACTGGCTGGCTCGTTCCCTCAGGCCTCCGGAGGGCTGTGCCTTCACCCGCAGCTCCTTGGCCGGCGCCCCTGGCCGTTCTCTCTCCGGCGGCACCCGTGCTCCTCCCCCTCTATCCTTTCGGCACTGTCATCATTACAGAAGGTGCCTGCTTCCTGTCGCTTGCCCCCACCTCAACGTCAAGGCCGCGAGGAGGGGGGCTTTGGATATTTTGTTCTTTCCTATAGCTTCATAACCTTGAATATATTTACTGAATATATAAATGCCTGAATAAAAACTATTATTTACACACATACACCCCTCTTTATTCTACAAAAGAAAATTTGGAAGCAAAACTCTCTAAAGCCTAAAGGACCATAACATATTTCTGAAACAGTGTGACCATTGATGGTAATCAAAACCCACAAAAGTTGGTTTTTTTGTTCTGTTTTGTTTTTACTGTATACTCAATCTAGGAAGCTTGAAGTAATTCTAGAAAGAGTAACTTCTGACTGATTACCCCTTAATGTGAAGCTGGTTTTGAGTTTGCCTGACACGAGACCTCTTCTAATAAGTTTGTAAATACACTAAAATGGATAATTTTTATAACGGAAACCACACTTCTGACTGAAAAAGTACCTCTTCCTTTCAAGATATGGATTTATTAGCATTAGGCCATGATGCAGAAGAATACTTCAGAAATAATGAGAGCACAGGTGCAGGTCACAATTATTAATAATGGCGTTCTGTCGCCCCCCAACCACCACCCGGAGTAATAGATGGCTACGGCTGCTTGCCAACATGCTGGTTAAAACAACATCAAGTCAAAGATAGGCTGCGAAATGTTTTCTTCCTTAAGATTCAGTGACTCATGCAAGGCAGACCTAGAAAATCACCTAATCTGATATCTCCCGGCTTTCATAAAATACTTTTCAATATACATTAAAAAGTGTTCCATGAACAGAAGTGGTAAGAGGTCCAAAAACCGCTGGGAGCACCCTCTACTCCCAACCATCTGCCTCCTTGAGACCCTCATGACACTTCCTCTGGACTCTCTCTCCGTTTGCTGAGGTTTTGAGTCAAGTCTTGAAGTAAAGAAAGCTGTGTCTTTGCTTCCCACAGCTTCTCCTACACTTACTTGACTGCGGAGGGAATTGCCTTTGAACACTTCACAGAACCAGGGCCCTGCACATAGTTTGGGCAACATGATCTCTAACCCTCTCATTTTAGAGATGAAGAAGGTAAAATCCAGAGCAAAAAGCAAGTGGGAGAGGCCCTCTACTCCCATCTTATTTATAAGAAAAAAAAAAAAAAGTCTATAGATGATATAAGTGTATGATAGGAGAAAAACCGTGTTTTAATTTTTCTGTGTTGCCGGTATTGAGCACGATACTGGGAACATATATGTATGCCAAATAAATTTGGGATGAAAAAAAGGTCAGGACCCAAGCCTCGTAATTTGTACGAGACGGCACATCCTGAGTTGGTGCCTTAGTTGTCACCACGGGTCACCCTGAGATCCCCCTCGGTGCTGTGCTGCCGGCCTCCCACCTTCTAAATGGCTCGGAGACCACAGGAGGGACCACAGTGCTTCCAGCTCAACCCCCACACGCTGTCAGGACTCCTGAGGATGAAACCACAAGCCTGCAGGCATCACACAACTTTATAAACATGAAGAATCTCAGGGCGCCTGGGTGGCTCAGTCGGTTAAGCATCTGCCTTCGGCTCAGGTCATGATCCCAGGGTCCTGGGATCGAGCCCCGCATCGGGCTCCCTGCTCAGTGGGGAGCCTGCTTCTCCCTCTGCCCCTCCCCCCTGCTCGTGTGCGCGCTCTCTCTCTCTCTCTCTAATAAATAAATAAAATTTTTTAAAAAAAAATTAAGGATCTTATGAGGGAATCACAGCTTTTAAAAAAATACAGTTCTCAATGGTTCAATCTTTTTTTTTTTTAAGATTTTATTTATTTGAGAGAGAGAGTGAGAGAAAGATGAGAGGGCACACACAGAGGGAGAAGCAGGCTCCCCGCGGAGCAGGGAGCCTGATGTGGGGCTCGATCCCGGGACCCCGGGATCAGGACCTGAGCCGAAGGCAGACGTCTAACCAACTGCACCTCCCAGGCGCCCCTCAATGGTTCAACCTTAAAGCATGTAAACATCTTTTCCAACAGTCTTCATCTGAGATTTCTATAAATAATGTCACCATGCTAAAAAAAAAAAGTGTGTGTGTGTGTGTGTGTGTGTGTGTGTGTGTGTTCACTAAAGTTAGGAAAAAATATTTACTATGTGCTTCTTACCTGACTGAAAATGAGTGAAATCTCCCCAGATTTTGCCCTACAATGCAGATAAAAGTCATTAAATATATATAATTTTTTTAGGTAGAAGTAAAATTAAACAGTTAGTGACAATGACATACTTTGCCAAGTGTCTATTGGATCCATTTTCTCCATGTTTGCCTATTTTTATACAATCTCTCAAAGGAATCTGGATAAAATTGGGAGAGAAATATTACAAAAATAAGCAAGGACAAAATATACACAAAAAGTAGGAATGTCTCTGTTCACATTTAAAATGCATTTACCTTAATGATGGGTTGGGATATTGCATCTGGTTCAAAAATAACTGACTTTGAACATATTTTTAAGGAGCCTCTGATTTTCCTAGGGATCAAAGTATAAGGGATTATTATCAGTGAACAAACCAAAAGTCACAAAAGAATCATAATACATTTTAACTAGAAAGTAGATAACTAAAGCATTAACTGAAAGAACAACAATGTAACTAATTTTAATTACATTGACCCCGGGCCGATGGTTTGCCAACCTGATCCCATTATTCATTAGGGACTGAAATTTTTATCACTCCTTCTGTTCTTATTATCTAGAATTCATCCACAAAGAACAACTTTACAGTATTTATTTATGATTTGGAGTACAGTTTTTCTCTATGATTTGAAGTACAATTTGTACAAAGAAAGCAGAAAAAAAAAATGCTTGATTCTTTACCTCTATTTATCAAGTTTTGGAATAATGAGTTGGTGTCCTGGGATCCCTGCCAGGCAATCTAAAGAGCTCATGAACTTGTGGATTTTAATGATTCTGATACATTTCCACCACTGCAGGCATCGTTCTTTTTTGATGTTCAGTTTGTCCCGTTTGTTGCCCAGTTCTTCAAGTTGGCCCTTGTGTCCTTTTAATTCAATGTACAGTAGTGTCTGATACCTCCCTTACTTGCCAGTAGGACAAGATGTGCCAGGCTCATCTCCCATACTGCCTGCCTCAGACTTAGACTCAACCACTTCTCAAAGAGCCCTCATTCCTTTTCGCGGGAAGCAGTATTCAGAGAGCACAATCTCATTGCTATGGGGTTGTTTCTAGGCCTTTCCCGAGGGGAGAGCTAGAAAACATTTTCTTTTAAAAGAAAAGTATATGAATCCATATAAACATTTCCAATTCAAATGTAAGATTAGGCTTTTAACTTAACTCCTTTACTATTAGATTTATAGTTCATCCTGAAAGTCTTGTCTTGGCATCAACATATTACTCATTTGCTTCATTTAACTATATAAATCTATGTGCACATGTGAATAAACCAGTTTCAAATTAATAATACCCAAATTACTAACAATGATAATACTACTGAAACATTTACAACCTTTTTTGCAATTCTTTTTCTACTCAGGTCATATCTCACCAGAGACACAAATTACTATGTTGTGAAGCTGATTAAAATAATTCTTCTCTGTGGTTAACCTTCCAACTTACATATAGTTAAGTTCACTTGTTTCATTTTCTTTTAGATTGTTAAGATTTACTATTTCTTCTGAAATTTAATTCTATATTAAAATATATGTAAAATATTTCTGCAGTTCCAAAAGTAAAGTTATAAAATAAGGGACATTCAGAGAAGTCTAGTTGTCATTTTATATTATTTCCCCATCGATCCTTCTTCTGTGTAGATAATCGCTTTCATTAGCTTTTAGTTTATGTTTTTTTAAACATATAATTTAAAATGTTTTTAGTTTTTAAAAACAGAAACAAAAAGTATTCCTTTCCTTTCATAATTACGTGAAAGACAGCATACAATACACAGTATTCTGCCCCTTACTTTTTGCACTAAATATATGCCGGAGATCACTCCACAGCTCTATACAGAGCTGCTTCATTCCTTTGTTACAGCTGCATAGTACTCCATTATGAGGACATGCCATTGTTATTCAATCAGTTCCCCACTGGATTGTTTCCAGTATTTTGCAATTACAAGTAGTGTTATGATAAATAACCTTGTACATATGTCCATTTCTTTATTTCCCAGGGTACCTCTGAGATAGTTCCCTAGAAGTAGCCTTGCTAGATCAATAGGTTAACACACATGAAATGTTGCTAGATATCACTGAATTCACTTCCATGGGTCGTACCACTGAACTCTAATAACAACTTAAAGATTACAAAAACAGGTTGCAGTTTGCTAGCTTATATTTGTGTTTTAATAAACAAATGCACTTAATTTTAAGCAAGACATTTTATGGTATGAGGCAGAGGAGTATAGGGAGGAAAAACAAAGGTATGGAATTAGGGAGAAGAATATGAGCAAAATTCCAGAAGTAAGAAAACAAGGTGCTGCTTTCAAGGAACAATAACTGTCTAACCTGAATGCTAAGGAAATGACATGTCATAAGCTCCCAAAAAGCTAAGTAATTTTCACTTTAGGTTGTATTTAAACAAATACCACATGGCTTTGATGGTCCTTTCAAGATAAAACCTGAAGAACACTAAAAATTCAAGAGTTTATTTAATATCAAAGCATGTTCAAGTTGTGGTCTATAGTTAAGGGACATCCCCAAAGGAAATCATTAGTAGATACAATTTTGCCGGAACAATTCTGATCTTAATTCCAAGTTGGCATTTTAAACAAAACACTTCATTGCACATTTTTGTACACAGGTTTCAAAAGTTACGGCCAAAGAAACCGAATCTGTTTTCATAGCAATAAGCAGTGATGATTACAATATAGAGAAGGCTGACTTTGCTTCCAGTTCAAATCAAATTATTCATTTTGAAAGTACTGATTTTTATGCCACTCTGGTGTTTTACGATTACTACTTTATAACACCATACCAAATAATTGAGAGTGCAAGTACAAAAGTAATACAGGAAAAAGGAGCTGGAATGAACCAGTCCTGTCCAGCTGAGTTAAGACACCCACATTAGAGGAATTCGTACACAGTGCTTCTCAGCTTTAGAAAATATCTGAAGTTAGGACAGCAACTTCAAAATCCTCCTTTCCCGTTACTTTCCCAGTATAAAAGGGGGACAAATCTACATGACCATCTCTGTAGAGATCCAAAAATCTTCCTTACCTTTCATTCTGATCGCCCTTGTTCTGAATATGATTAGCTGTGTGTTGTTCAAAGTAGTATTCCTCCAAGTTAAGTAGGAGCAAGGAAAATCTAAATTTGGAAAAACCAGAACAAACAAAACGAAACCTCATGTTTATTATTTTTTAGGCAAAAGAAAGCAGAGTATTTAAAGCATCTGTTCCCAAAGTGATTATCCATTCATTAAATCAACAAATACCTATTAGGTGTATATTATACACAAAATGCTCTTCTCTATTCAGTGGGAGAAAGCAACAGACAGACTTGCCCAGCCGAGCCAAAGATAAATAAAACTTACTTATAGGTGGATTTTTTTTTTTTTAAATTCCTTTAGGAGAAACCACAAATTTCATGAACTAAAACTTATTCTTGCCTGAACCAAACCTGGGGCTTTCCTACCTATGGAGTTTTCATCCTTTGTTTCGGCTGGCTGACCACCAGGCTTCCCTCCCTCCCCTTCCAGACTGCACACCCCTCTGGCTCGAGTGTTCTGCCTCATGGCTGGTTGCATATATCCTACTACTTCCACAAGATCATATGCCTCTGAGAGGCAGACTCTAGATATTTCCCTGTAATAACCAGTCTAATGCTTTGGTGTTGAATAAATTGAACAGAATAGGATTAAAATATAGTTCTTTTTAAAGTTTTAAGTGTTTTAAACTTTTTTTTCTTTTTAAAGATTTTATTTACTTATTTGACAGAGAGAGAGCACAAGCAGGGGGAGCGGCAGGCAGAGGGAGGGGGAGCGGCAGGCAGAGGGAGGGGGAGCGGCAGGCAGAGGGAGAGGGAGAAGCAGGGCTCCCTGCCGTGGGGCTCGATCCCAGGACCACAGAATAGTGACCTGAGCTGAAGGCAGACACTTAACCAACTCAGCCACCCAGGCGCCCAAGTGTTTTAAACTTTTAAAAACACAACAAGGTAATAAGAAAAGATATTAATTCAGTTGTATGGCTACAGAAACAAATACATGGCAAATAACTGGAAACAAGTGTTTTTCGTTCAGGAAACATCAGTGGCATCTAGAGTTACAGGAAATACTCTCAGGGGAGCGTGGGACTGGAGTTCGGGTGTGTTGGAGGAAGGTATCACCAATAAACATAGCTGATCGAATGTGTATGTCTCTTTCTGCTCCCTCTGGAAGCACCACTAAAATCTGAGTGAACGAAAATATTTTTTAAATGGTAAAACCACAGCAAAGAAAACTGAAGAGTCACAAGTGAAGATGAGAGCAACAAATCTGAGAGAAATGGAAAGCAGATGGGAGGAATCAGCAGTGGTCAGAAACGAGAACAGCACATACCCTCCAGTAGAAGGTACCAGTCAGGAGAAAACCAACTCAAGTCAGAGGACTTCCAAAAAGTCCTGAAGTCGCAGGTATCAGGTACAAAGAAGACCGGAAGGACGTACGGGGGGTAGCGGGAAGTCTCAGTGAGTCAGTAGCCCAGATTCCTCCCCCGATGCCTATCCTACCGTACTCTGGTTTTTCTAGACAAAAACTGAGCAAGAGTCTCCAAACTAGACATCAAGCACAGTGGAGAGCAGGGTTATGGCGTAAAAAAGTAGGAAGACATAACCATTCCAAGTAACAGCTTGGTAGATTATTTTTAGAAAAAACAAAACAGCTGTAGAGAAAAGACCCATGGATAGGAATATCTGAAAGAGCCAGGTCTTTACAATATCCTTCTATACTGAAGCCCAACAGAAAAGGCCCGCCCACAGTGACACAGAATTACGTGCTTCACACTTAAACAGGAATGGCTAACCCAAGATCACCAGCTTCTAATATGAAAGAACTAGACCAAAACAAGCAGAAGAACACAACTTGGAGTTCTAGACACAATACAGAGAACAGGAGGTCAAAAGCCTATAATAAATTCACTTACAAAGAAGAAATTATATTCATGGAACAGGACTTTGCTCATTACAAAGAAAATTTGAACCAAAAGAAAAATAACTCATAAATTAAGAATAATGACAGCAGGAACCAGCTTTCCCATCCTAATAGGTAACTTTTTATTAGCCTATTTGTGTCTTTAAATCCATGAATAAGAATTAATCATAGGCTAAAATGCCAGGGCTCAAAGTAAAATGCTCACTATTAATACCTATTCTGGATTACAGTACAATCACAAAAGTTAGGATTGCTAGAATAGTCCTTTGATGCATCAGATAATTTCCATGAAGGTTAAATCAGAGAAATACTTATTAGCTACCTTGCCCCTTATTTTTAGCTTGTGCCTTAATGACCTGAAACCCTTTGCTTGGGCTGGAGCTATATAACCCTATCTTCCCACTCCTCCTCTTAGAGAGAAGGTAAAATAAAATAAGTATCTTTATTAAGACAATGGCGTAATTTTATTGCTATGAAACACAAGTAGCCCTCATAGACAACCAGCTCTTCCATATAATTATTAAAAGGTAGTCCTATTCCTTGCAATAGCATGAATGGATCTACAGGGCATTAAGCTAAGTGAAATAAATCAGAGGAAGACAAAATACCATATGATTTCACTCCTATGTGGAATTTAAGAAACAAATGAGTAAAGAAAAAAGAGACAAAAAACCCCCCAAAAACCAGATTCATATATAGAAAACTAGTGGGTTGCCAGAGGGGAAGTGGGTGGGAGATGGCTGAAATAGGTGAAGGGGTTTAAGAGTGCACTTATGATGAGCACTGAGTAATGTACAGGATTGTTGAATTATTACATTAAACACTGAAACTAACGCTGTATGTTAATGATACTTGAATTAAAAATAAGTACATTAAAAAAAGAAAAATAAAAAATATATAACCCTATTATATAACTATATTAATAATTTTATTTATATATTAATTATATATTTTAAAAGAAAAATAATATATTCCTATTAAATATCAGATATATAATATTACAATATATTATTATTAAATGCCCATACTACCCAAAGTGATCTGCAGATTCAATGGAATAAAATCTCAATGGCATTTATTAAAGAAATAGAAAAAAAAATCCTAAAATTCATATGGAATTGAATAGACAAAACGATCAAGAAAGAAAAACAAAGCTGGCAGCCTCACAGTTCCTGATTTCAAAACATATTACAAAGCTACAGTAATTGAAACAAATTCAAAATCAGCAGACAGACATATAAATCAATGGAACAGAATAGAGTTGAGAAATAAACCCTCACATATGTGCTCAAATGTGGGTTCCAAGGCCACACAAGAAGAAAAGGACAATCTCTTCAACAAATGGTGCTGGGAAAACTGGATTTCCACATGCAAAAGAATGAAATTGGGACCTCATTAACATCACATACAAAAATTAACGCAAAATGGATTCAAGACTTAAATGCAAGACTTGAAAGTATGAAACTCCTAGAAGAAGACTTGGTAGAAAGCCCCATGACATTGTATTTGGCAATGATTTCTTGGATAGGACACCAAAAGCATAGGCAACAAAAGCAAAAATAAACAAATGTGACCACATCAAACATAAAGACTTCTGTGTGGCAAAGAAAACAATCAACAGAATGAGAAGGCAACCTAAATAACTGGAAAGAATATTTGTAAACCACACATCTGATAAGGAGTTACTACCCAGAATATATAAAGAACTCTACAGTTCAAGAAAAACAAAATATAACCCAATTAAAAAATGGGAAAAAGACTTGAATAGATGCTTCTCCAAAGAAGATATACAAATGGCCAAAAAGTATATGAAAAGATACTCAATATCCCTAATCATCAGGAAAACACAAACCAAAACTACAAATGAACGATCACCTCACACCCTATTAAACAAAACAAAACAAAACAAAACAAACCTGAAAATAACAAATGTTGGTGAGGATGTGGAGAAATTGGGACCCTTGCCCACTGGTGGTAGGACTGTAAAATGGTGTAACTGCCATGGAAAACTGTATAGAGGTTCTTTCAAAAATTAAAAATACAACTACCACACAACCCACAGTCCTTAACACTACTGTATTATACATCTAAAAGTGGCTAAGATGGTAAGCCTATGTTATGTGTTTTTGACCGTAGTTAAAAAAACTAATAGCAACTATTGTAGAACTGAAGTCATTATCTTGGCAAGTTAACTTACATCCTCCTTAATTTACCAGGATGCATATTTTGTAAGAAATGTAAACAGACAGAACCAAATCATATTATTTAAAGTTAAAGGATTAAGGAAAGGAATTTTTCTGAGTGTGCATTTTCTTTCTACTGAAGTGTTCAGTTACACCTGCTTTAAAATTTTTGTATGTACAAATCATTACAATAAAGTTTCATGGTATTTTGAACGATTTTCAAACCACATCCTCAGGAGGAAAACGTTCTGTGAAATCACTTTTATAATTTTAAATGTTTTCTTTAGGACACTCTTGGCCTTGCCCCTGGGGATTCCTTAGCTTAATCCATCTTTACAGTGCTGTGGTGGGCTCTTTGGATTCTCTTTGATAAATTTACTCATTCAGCAACTTAACTTTCCTAAAAAGATGCGGCCCCATCCTCATGTCACCTAAATTTTAAAACATCCTACTCAACACTCCACCAAAACATAAAATAAGTTCACACAAGGCAGCCCTCAGAGTAACCTTGCAGCCATGCCCACTCAACCACCCCTCAACGCTCTACTGATGAACAGTATTTATAATGGATCCAGAAGATTTGGCCGGTCCATCATTTTTCTAGATCGGAGAGGTTTCACTGTGTTGAGGAGAACTGTTATGTGCTCAGTCGGAGAAAGTGCCCGATGCTGTAGCGATGTGTACATGGACGGGCACAGGAAAGGCCCAAGAGCCCTGCATTTGCCATCTCTACTCTGGATCCCCTACCATTATCCTCAGGTCAGACTAGACTCTATGGCCCCTACCACTTAGAGAGTTGGTATAACTAAATTGGGCATTTTTTGTGAGCTTCTTAAAATGGCTCTGAAATGGGGACATTAAGAAAAATGCTGAAGACAAGGGCAAGAACACAGTCCTGTGACTCACCATGAAAATGTTCCCCCCGTAATACATTTGACAGGAACCTCTGAATACAGCTGTTCAGACACACAGTACCCCGCCTATCTACTAACATTTAT